TACTTCGACGATTCGTGCTGTACTCATTCTGATAAGCGATTCTTGCTGCTGCTGTGTTGCACTCATGGTTTTTTTAATTGTGATTTCGTTAACAATTGTTATTACGTCATAAATTGCTTTTGTCGTCTTTTCATGTGCAGTGACTATGGTACTAGTTCGTAATCGTACGCCGACATCTTGATGCACCATCGTGTCATTCACGGCGACAATGTCTGTGGCATTGGCTTCTGGGGACCTATAATACCCAACAAGGGCCGGTGATCTGTTACGAAAGTCACTTTCCTGCCGGTAATGTACTGCCGAGAGTGATCTGCTGCGTAGACGATGGCAAGTCCGTCTTTACCTAGCTGGGAATAATTCCTCTCTGCCTGCGATAGGGTGCGCGAAGCAAAAGCGATCGGGGCTTCCCGTCCCTGGTCGTCAACTTGGGAGAGGACTGCTCCCACTCCGTATGGTGATGCGTCACAGGCTAGCAGTAGGGGTCTCCTTTCGTCGCAGTGTCGCAGAACAGTAGACTTGCGAAGTAGTTTCTCAAGGGCAACAAATGACTCTTGGTGGCGTGGCGGCCAAGTCCATGGGACTTCTTTCTGCAGGAGCTGATATATATCGTTGGCCACTGTAGCTCGATGTTCTAAGAACCGGTCGTAGAACGTCAATAGCCCCCAAAACGACTGCAGTTCTTGCTTGTTAGTAGGCGCTCGTGCTTCGGTGATTGCACGCACTTTGTCTTCAGTGGGTTGGATACCCTGCGCGTCAATTTGATGTCCAAGAAACTTCTCTTCAGGCGCCGCAAAAACACATTTTTTTTACTGATGCGCAAATTAGCATTTGCTAGCCTTTCCAAAATGAGCTCCAAGCGTTCAGTGTGCTCTTCATTGGAGGCGCCACCGACAATAACATCGTCCAAGTAGACGCAAACACCTGGAATCCCGCTAAGTGTAGACTCCATAAATTTCTGGAAGATTGCTGGCGCTGCAGATATTTCGAATGGTAGCCTTTTAACTTTGTAAAGACCCTTAATAGTGTTTATTGTGAGCAGTTCCGACGTTGATTTGCTCACCTTCAGCTGCTGGTAGGCTTGTGTCAAGTCCAAGGTGCTGAAGATTTTTCCACCACGAAGCGTGCTAAAAACTTCTTCCGGTGTCGGCAGTGGGTAGGAAGATGCTTTTGTCGCCAGGCTGACAGTGCTCCGGTAGTCACCGCAGAGGCGTAGGGTACCGTTCTTCTTTCGGAAGACAACGAGCGGTGAAGCCCATTCCGAATGTTGCGTCGGTTCGATGATCCCTTGTTCCTGCAGTCGGTCAAGCTCATTCTCGACTGACGTTCGTAGGGCGAAAGGCACCGACCTAGCTTTCAAAAATTTCGGCATCGCATCCTCCCGCAGCTCCAGTGTGACTGGAGGTCCGTTGTTCCCTGGTATTTCTTCGGAGAAAACCGCTTTGTACTTATCTTGGAGCTGCTCCACTGACGGATAACTGGGGGTGTGGTGAACTCCGTCAATGACCACTCCAAGGGGGTGAACCAATTTCGTCCTAAAAGGCTTGATCCAGAACCATGGACGACTAGCAAGGGGAGCTGATGGGTCTGCCCGTTGTAGTACACGTCTACGTTGGCACAGGCCAGCAGTGGAAGGGAATGTCCGGACCACATTCTCAGCTGCGTGACGTCTTGCTGGAGAGCTGGCGCGTTCTGACGCCAAGTAGCGCGAAAAGTATCCTCGCTGATGAGCGTACATGCTGCTCCGGAATCCACTTCAAACCTGATAGGGCGCTGAAGTACCATAATTTCAGTTGTAATCTTCGGTCTCGTTTCGAGGTTCACAACGGCGTTTAAGTCATATAGTGCCTATGACGTTAGTGCTGTTCGGCTTGTCTCTTGCGTCTGGCCCTCCTGTGCGTCGACATTGTTGTTCCGTTGCACTGAAGTCTTCGGTCCGAGCTGTTTGCGCTTCGAGATGCATGCCCTTTCAATGTCTCCCAGTTTTTGGCTAAAATTGCAGGTCGCTGTCTTGTATCGACATACCTGGGGATCGTGCATGTCGTCGCATCGCCAACAGCGCTGTGTCTTTCTGCTTGATTTCGCCTTAGACGTGGAATGACCTGACCGCTGACTGGTGTGATGCACCGGCTCGACGTTCCGTCGAATATCCCTCTGCTGGCGACCGGCGCTCTCCGCTCGTTGGGCGATGTCGTAGGCTTTGGAGAAGGTGAGACCCGTCTCCGCGAACAGGCGTTGTTGTAGGCCTGCGTGACACAGTCCGCACACAAAACGGTCACGCAACAAAACGTCCAAGGGGAGCATAGTGGTGTTAGCAGGTGTGGAAGTCAATCCTTCCTCCTGCGCAGTAGCTGCAGCTGTCGTGGTCAACGTCCCGAAATTGCAGTCAGCAGCGAGCTTTTTGAGAGCCGCTACGTATTCGGCCACTTTTTCGCCTTCCAGTTGGTCTCGCCGTTGGAAGCGGGCTCGACAGTAGACCTCCGATGGCCTTGGGTCATAGTGCTTGTAGCGCTGCTACGATGTCGTCGTAGTCAACGGCTGCTGGAGTGCGTGGCTGAATCAGGGCACAGACTGTGTCGTATGTCTGCTCCCCACACAGCGTTAGCAGGTTGGCACTCTTCATTGCTGCATCAGTGATGTTGTTAGCCTCGAAGTAAAATTGCAGGCGTCCAAACCACGATGACCATGATGAGCCGTTGAATTCGGGTAGCCGATTTGGGAGCCCGTGCGTAGCCATAGCTTGTAGCTTGTCAATATCGTTGCGTAGCGTTGGTCCAAATCCACTTCCTCGTCGCCACTGTTATGTCCGGTGTTGTCGTCGGCCCATAGACGTACGCGTTGGTCGCGGTAGTCCAAAAAGCTCAGACAGCCTCGAACGGTTAAAAACAAGTTTATTCCTATTCGAATGGAGGCGGCGGCCGAACTGCCGGGGGAAACGAGGGTGGCTCGTTTGCACCGAGCGGGGGAAGGGGAGGAGTCAACATCTGGAAGCAGTTTCAGCAACCGGTCCTTCGCGGGTTCGGAGGCTCGCTCGTGACACAAGGGTGCTTGGAACACAACAGTATTCATCCTCTGTCACGTGTGACTGATTATTGTACACATTTATTGTGCAGCCGTGGGCACACACCGTGCTGAAGGTTGTGCGCGCTGGCATCTGCGATGCCTCTCATCCATCTCTTTCGTCAGTGCAGCTTCAAAAGAACTGTGCGAAATGTCAAGGTAAAGTTATTTGTGTGTCATATTTTACACGCATGTTTTTATATTCACTTGCACGTATTTGTCATATACATGCATCTTCATCTTCTGTCACGTGTGTTTCACTTTTTTTACTATCGTTTACGTACAGCCGTGGGAACACAACAGGCAGAAGGCTGCGTACGCTGGCGTCTGCAATGCCTATCATCTATCGCTTCCGTCGGAGGAGCTCTACAAAAAGTGAACAAAATGTGACCACGAGAACGGACTTGTGCACTTCACTATGAGTTCGCTTAAAAGAATGGAGAAATTTCATGTGTATGTAGAAAAATAAAAGATTTAGATGTTTCACTTTTGTCTTTCGTTGTTGCCGTGACTGCTAAAGCAGTTATTCATGCGTGGCTAACTACTTTTTTGCGTGTTGTTTTCTGCGCTATTTGTTGCTCACTGCACAGAAAAACAGGCGAAAAAAGTATTAGGCCTGGCGGAAAATAATAAAAAAACAACGTTTGAACTGGGGTGAAAAAGTTCATTCGATTGAAGAATTTGAGTGGATCAACCGTTCGTCCGGCAAGGTGAACTGTGAGGGCTAACGGTTGCTCGGTAAGATGTAAATATGGGGATTGACAGTTTCCCTATAAGGTGCAAATTTTAGGACGAATTGTTAGTCTTTTGAGGTGAAATGTGGGACTAACGGTTTATCACTAAGGTGTAAATTTGAGGACTGAATGTTAGTCTCTTGACCTCGTCTGTGGGAACTAACTGTTAGACCCAGTTCCGTTATTCTTTAAAGAGATTTACGATTGTGGCAGCCCCGCTAGTCCAAAAAAGAACGAACCACACACCCTTTTAACGCTCTTTTGCCTTAGAGTGTTATCAAGGAATCGGCCTCGTTTTCCTTCAGTTTCCGTCTCCCGACGATCACCGAAGGGGAACAGTGGAAAACGAATGTATTTGCTCTACGCCCTTGTGCTGAGATTTCTTTGCACGTTAAAGAGCCTCAAGTGGTCAAAATTTGCGGAGACCTCCACTACGGCATTTTGAATATTTATATGGTGGTTTTGAGACGTTAAACGCGAGATATCAAACAATTTTGATTAAGGTGCGTTAGTGCACCTTGTGAGTGTTCACAAGTCACGAAAACTGCATAGACAAGGGGAGCACGCACAAAATAGGGTTGGCACTTATATCAATCAGGCGCCGCTCCCTTTGTGTCGTTCGTCTTAGTAGTTTCCACGGTTCATCACTAAACACTGCGTTTCGGTTGCAACATTTTATTTCCTGCTTCGATTCACATCCAGAACTGCAAGCAGCTAATAGGAGGGGCAAATATTGTATTAGGACGGTTCATGTATACCTAAAATATAGGCAAATTCCGTTAAAAAAGTGAAGCATCTGTGTCATGGTTTATAACACCTCTCAGATAAAAGTGTAACTGCGGAGTTGCAAGGGCTTCTTACGAACACTAAAAATGTTAATATACGACTGTTTATGTGGGTGCTTTAGCGTCATAGTATACGTATTATATCAATAGGGCTTAAAAATTTTAATCTGTATTCTCCCGGACACACACTGTTCTTGCACTTCTTCTTTTGGAAAAACGTCGAGTACGGCACGACAGGATATGCGCACAAGCTAAGCCGTGATCATTAGAAGATGAGAAAACGAAGCAATTAAACGTCTGCACTGTACAGGTACGGCAGGTCTACCTCGAATCAAATTAGTGTTACAGAGTGCAAGAAGAATTTTTTGCTTATGTTAATGCAGCAGCTGTGGGACACGTTTTTAATATTGATTTCTTTTTGCAGTACCGCAGCGATGCATGTTATTTACAATAACAATTATTTCGGGAAAGTTGAACTTGGAAAACATACCGGAGAAGACATTTACAGCTATCAGAACAACAACGGTGCTAGAAAAAATGAAAAGTTGGTTTCAGACGTCAAGGAGGGGGACATCTTTTCAATCGCTTTGCGAGTAAATAGATTGAGAGATCTCGTGGTAAGTAGATCTGGTGTATTCATGGCTTCAATTAAAATTCGTTAAAGCACATCATTTCACAGGTGTGCTCAATATCCTGACATATTTATTTAAGTAGCCCTGAATTGTTTGTGGCGTTTCCGAAGGTATTGTTTTTAGTGGTGTTGCTTGCGGAACGATTCTATTTTCTGTATTATGTCAAAAAAAGAATAAATTTCAGTTAGGGAAGCACTGAAAGAATGAATGCGCTTTAGAAAAGGATAATAATTGAGGTATCGCTAACGCTTGTCTCTGCAATTTTTCGCAAGATCTGTCCCTTTGAAGCATGAAGAGAAAGCTAAGTTTAAGAGCCTTGCTGAATGCCACGTCAAGATATCTAGAGAGCATTTGCCAGCAGTTGAATTTAAGGAGAGATGGTAGATGGGCGTGGAAAAGCAAACACACTTCACCACCCAGAACAGACAAAGGAAATACACAGAATTCACGTTAAAGCGCTCAACAGCTCCATACCACTCCATAACACAACACTAAAAGTTCAGTCACAACCAATAACTCCATAACATTGAATAACTCAATAACAATCCGCGTACATGGCTGAACCCAATCTTACTGCAACTTAGTTCCAATTCATTACTAGCCCTAGTAACTAGTCCTATGTCAATAAGCGTTAACAATGGAATGTCCTTACAGTTCGTCACGTTGTGACTCGTTGACCCTTGCTGTGTCGACATTTATTCGAGTCCTCCGTCGTTGACGGGCTGTTGCAGTTCTTACCGTTGAGGTCGGTTGATGCCACCGAATGAACCACTCGTCCTCATCACTGGTGTTCTGGTTTAAGTCTCAATCGTTTGTCTTGCAAGGCTTTGCTCGTCATGGACTTCCCCGCTGATGGGTCCACTCTACTGAATGGTGTGGGCTGCCTTCGTCTTAGCGCGATGTGTGATAGCTGAAAGTCCACCTAAAGCTGCTGGGCGAAGCTCAGAGCCCCAATTCGGTGTCAGCTCCAAGTCGGGGCTAGATCCACAGTGCCAACTCCACCTCTGGGATTTTTTGCCACGGCTCCGGTCACGTGCCAAGAGCTTTTTCACGACGAATAAAATTCTCGCTCAAGTAGTCATATGGCACTGTAAAGTTTCTGTTTACAAAACTGTTATATATTGTCACGTTACTCACGACAAACTTGATACAATGGGCTTGTTGAGTCGACTAGCCAAGCAGCAGCTTAGAGAGATCATCTTTTTCTTCTTTCTCTCTCTGATCTCACCCAAGCAAACCATGTGGCAATAGTCTCTCCCCCCCCCCCTTTGAAAGAATCGACTCGATGCTCGTAAATTGAAAAAAATGAAGGCATACAAACGCAGATATAGAGAACCAAAACAGGGAGAGTGCCAGTACTCGCAGCGCAAATGAAGAAGTTTCGTCAACGCTTGCGCCAAGCGCAAAAAGAAAAGGCATGAAAACACAGGAGAACACAAACAGCAGCAGCAACGCAAAGTCACGGCATGTCGTAGCACGTGAAACCACAAGGGCTACTGTGTGAAGTAGGGCTTCAGCCGAACCAAATGCACGGTTTCGGGCCGAAGCTGTCGACGAGAAGACGCAGCGTCGTCCAGAAATACCTCGTAGGTAACATCTGTGACTCGTCTAAGAACCTTGTACGGTCCAAAATAACGGCTTAGGAGATTTTCGGATAAGCCTGGTCGCCGGACACGGATCCACACCCACACTCGGTCCCCAGGGTGGTAGGTGACATTTCGATGGCGGAGGTTGTAATGTCGTGCGTCTGCATCATGTTGGTGACTGGTGTTTATGCGAGCTAGCTGACGAGCTTCTTCGGCGTATTAAGTGTATTGCTCAGCGTCTTGAGCAAGTTCATTGCTTTAGTCGCACGGAAGCATAGCATCGAGCATGGTTCGCACGTTGCGTCCGTAAACAAGTCGGAAAGGCGGAAATCGCATTGTTTCTTGCGTTGCCGTATTGTAAGCAAACGTGATGTATGGAAGAATCTCGCCCCAGGTTTTGTGTTGTACGTCCACGTACATTGACAGCATGTCCGCTATGGTCTTGTTAAGCCTCTCTGTCAGTCTATTGGATTGCGGGTGATAAGCCGTTGTTTTTCGATGACTTGTGCAGCTCAGTTTGAAAATGTCCTCCATCATTCGAGCTGTAAACGACGTCCCTCTGTCCGTAATCACGCATGACGAGGCAGCATGCCGTAGGACGATTTGGTGCACGAAGAACTGCGCGACTGCAGAGGCCGTGCCACAGGGTAATGCGTTTGTTTCTGCATAACGAGTAAGATAATCTGTCGCACCTATAATCTATTTGTTCCCAGAGGACGACAAAGGGAAGGGCCCGAGAAGGTCCATTCCCACGAGGTCAAACGGTGTCCGTGGTGGTGCGATTGGTTGGAGCAATCCCGCGGGTCTCACAGGCGGAGTCTTGCGGCGCTGGCATTCACGGCAGCCTTTCACATATCGATGTACACTAGTTGATAGTCGCGGCCAGTAATACTGTTGGCGTACTCTGGCGAGAGTTCGCGAATAGCCCAAATGTCCTGACGTGGGCTCGTCGTGGCACGCAACGAGGATATCATCACGCATGTCGGTAGCAACAACTAGTAGGAAGGCTTTGTCGCTACCACGGGCGTTTTTCTTGTAAAGAATGGCTCTTCTTAAACAAAAAGAGGACACTTCGCGAGCAATGTGTTGAGGGACCTGAGGATTGCGGCCTTCCAGGGAATCAATGACTGGGCGTAATTCGTCGTCTGCCTGCTGCTTTGACGTAAATTCGGTGTCACTAACTGCTCCGAGAAAGGCATCTTCATCTTCGGAGCCCCTGAGAGCGTTCCCCACAGGCGCCCGAGAAAGCGCGTCGGCGTCTTAATATATCGTCGGCGTCTTAATATATCGTTATATCGAAATCCTGCAAACGCCAACTCCGCCATGCGAGACGGCCGGATGGATCTCTGAGATTTGCCAGCCAGCAGAGCGAGTGGCGGTCAGTCACAACTTTGAAGGGACGACCGTACAGGTAAGGCCGAAATTTGGTCATCGCCCACATGACTGCGAGGCATTGTTTTTCTGACGTAGAATAGTTGGTCTCGGTTCGAGAAAGAGTACGACTGGCGTAAGCTATCACATACTCAACACCGCCATGTCGCTGTACAAGGGCAGCGCCAAGTGCAACGTTGCTGGAATATGTATGAATTTCTGTAGCAGCGTCCTCATCAAAATGGGCAAGAACAGGGGCTGCTTGCATTCTTTGTCGTAACTCTGTGAACGCTGTATCTTGTTCAGCGCCCCAAGTAAAGGGCACGTCATCTAGGGTGAGTCGCGTAAGAGGTTCAGCTATCTTCGAGAAGTTGGCGATAGATCGGCGATAATACGCGCACAAGTCGAGGAAACGGCGTACTGCTCTTTTATGTGATGCAACAGGGAAGGCGGCGACAGCAGCAGTTCTGTCTGGATCAGGTCGCATTCCATCCACACTAATGACATGTCCCAGAAATTTCAGCTCCTCATAGTCGAAATGGCAATTTTGAGGTTCCAGCGTAAGTTCAGCTGTGCGAATGGCTTCCAGAACCTTTCTCAGACGCTTCAATTGTTCTTCGAAGCTCTCGGAAAAGATGACCACATCATCGAGGCAGACAAGTCAGCTTTGTTACTTTAAGCCAGCGAGAACTGTGTCCATCATCCTCTGAAAAGTGGCTGGTGCAGAACAGAGGCCGAAGGGAAGAACTCGGAATTCGTAAAGTCCGTCTGAGTCACAAACGCGGTTTTTTCTCGGTCTCGTTCATCCACTTCAATTTGCCAATAGCAACTCTTTAGATCAATGGACGAAAAATACTTCGCGCGTCGTAAGCTGTCGAGGGAGTCGTCGATCCGTGGAAGCGGGTAGACGTCCTTTTTTGTGACGCTATTAGGCTTCCTTTAGTCAATACTGAATCGCAGCGTTCCGTCTTTTTTCTTCACTAGAACGACTGGCGAGGACCAAGCGCTGCTGGATGGTTGAATAATCCCGTCATCGAGCATCTGTTTTACTTGTGTCTGAATAGCCTCGCGTTCTTTGGCAGAAACGCGATAAGGCTGCTGCCGGATGGGGCGGACGTCGTCTTCGGTAATAAATCGATGCTTCGTGAGGTGTGTTTGACGGACTTTAGAAGAAGAGGCGAAGCAAGATCGAAGCTCCCTTAAATGGTCATGAAGTGCAGCCTTTCTCTCGTCTGACAGCGTCGAATCAATTTCCATGCGGTCTAGAAATTTCTCATCCTCTTGCGTTTCTTTGGACGCGAAGCACTCCGTGACGTCGGCAACAGGGTCTCCATAAGCTAGGGTGGTTCGGCGAAAAAGATGCCGGTGCTCGTAGTTGAAGTTCGTAACTAGTATCGTTGACTGTCCGTCACGGACACACACAACACTTTGGGCGGCGAATACACTTTGGAGCAGTAGAAGTGATAGGTTGCTTTCAGCCACCACGTCATCATCTTGGAAGTCTTCACAAGTGACTTCGATGGGAACAGTTGCTCGAGGTGGCATCGTCACACTGTCGTCAGCAACACGCAGCGCAAGTCTACGGAAGTTATCAGCGCCTCGATGTGTTGCGCCTTGAGTCGAGAAGGTCACGATGTGCTCACGAAGATTTATGATGGCACCTTATTCCCGAAGGAAGCCCATGCCAATAATCAGCTGACGCGAACAGTCGCGAAGAATGAGGCAGCTGAGCGCAAACGTTGACGCACAAATTTTCACACTTGCGGTACAGCGACCAAGCGGTGTTAAGGTGTCCAGCTGTTCGAATTCGCGTTCCTTTCCTGAGATCTGTCGCTAGCCTCCTGCTGATAATCAAATAATCTGCACAAGTGTCTACCAATGCACTGACCTGGAGACCATCAATCAGCACAGGTTTGTCGAGTGACACGCGTTCACTATGTTCAGATGTGGATGTCGGCGTTTCTTCGGTACTGCAATTATTCTCTGACGAAAGGCCTTCGGCGTTGCGTGCAAGCGTCGATGGGAGGT